GTGCTGTGTTTACCCATTCCATACGTTACAGGAGGACATTTAGAGAAAAGTAATATTCATTTTGTTAGATATAGGTCCAAATCAGCATTACATGATAGTATAAATTGTTGGGAGTGTTTTGAATAAGTTCAATGGTTGCATAACAGTTGCTGATCTTAACCAGCAATCTATGACATAACGATATGGATAGAAAAAGCGTTTTTTAAGCTCTGGTTTTCCGTGGTTTCTTTGATATAAAATCATACATATACAGTATAGTATTCTGACTGTTGATTTGTATAAAATTAATGTCATTATGACAACTTTGGGATTTTGCAATTTAGAGAAATGTCACTATTACCATTACTATTTTATGACATTTGGAATAAATAATAAATTATTTGAAAATCTACCGATATGACTAACATATACATTTAAAGCTCCTGCCCATTGTCTTACAAACATTATTTTTTACGGACATAAATGAAAATAAGATCAGACTGTAAATCAACACTATCCACAATAATGCGTACAGCAACAAAATCCTTCTTCATAGTCACTGATTGAACTTTTCTAGTCTTCTAACTATTCGCTTTTGCACCGTATGTCACATTCATCTGTTCACACCACATTCACGCAGAGGCTGCTTTATGAAGTGACAATCAGTATTAATGAATCACATTAATTCACATACACACGCCGCTGACGTGGCAGCAGGAACAACTTGGGGATTAGTGTCTTGCCACGGACATGTAGCTGGATCAAACCCCTGACCTTCTGGTTGAGAGGCATCCCTAGTGGTTAAGAGACAGGACAAGTTCAGTCACAGCATTCTCGCCTTGTTGTCACTGCAGCAGGAGCAGGATGTTAGTGAAAAAACAAACTCAGACTCACTTTACACGAGTACAACAGAGAAGGGAAAACTATCAACAAATTTGAAGATGAAAATGGATTAAAAAGACTGTGAGATCTAGACAAACCTCCCAATCACACAGAAACATAATTACACATTAATGAGTATGTAACTCTCTTTACTCAAAGTGAGATTCTGTCTTCGAAGCACAAAGATGGCTTTTTTTTCTTTTTTTTTTTTTTTACACAAATCAGAAAAGGACAGCTGATTTTCAGTTCAAATAAAAAGCTTTCGATGAAGTTTTAAGATTAAAAGCGGAGTGTAATGACTGTCTTTTCCAACAAATAAGTGAGGACATATCAGAGGCATTCAGGTTTATTGTGTATGAGTGGCAGATGATTACTTTGGTGTTTTTGGGTCAGAATGACTATTAAGTAAACCTATTTAATATGTTCTTTTGACCACAGGTCTCTTAGCCCCATCATTCATCTGAGGCACCATGTAATGCTGCAACAGTCCACGCTTGTTCTGATTCTGGCATCTTTTCATGTTATTTAAGGGCACATCAAAAGTCAAAGTATACTTTATACAAAATTGCAGTTCCTTTCATTACCTCTCAATGAACAGCAATAATAATCACTTGAAAAGCAAAAGTCTAAATCTTTGTGAAGGCCACATTAGATGTGGTAATTATTGCCAATTCCTGCACCCGCAGAGCAGCAGAAAGACAGACACGGCTGCCAAGTCAGAGGCATTGTTGTGGTGACATTTGAGCGGCGGATCAAGCTGCTGACGAACAATCCATATTGAAAAGCTGCTCTTTCTGCTAAATGTCAAACAGTGGCAGGAGATATTGTTCATGGAACAGACAACAGAAAACTTTTCATTCATAATCATCAACATGCTGAGTCAAGCACTGTGGTGGCTTTGGTCAGCCAGGGTGCACAGTTGATTTAATCTGAAGAGTTGAAGTAGTTTGGCATTCGACTCCCCTACTGCTGGTGATTTAGTCATCTGCCATTTTTATGAACTTTTGTCCCAGACTATGCTTGCTATCATCACATTATGAAAATTGCTTTCCATAATACAAGCGGCATCGATGCAAATGTACAGATGTGCAGTTGGAATATTTAATTCAGCTGTTCAGCAGCTTTATGTTTATCATCCTTGATTGAAGTCATATTATCAAGGATCTGATTTGTCTGGAGTAATGCTCACTTCAGAGATTTTCTGACCTGACAATGGGTCTGAACTGTCGGAGTCTAATGGATTTCCAGTAATTCATGTGAATGTTTATTTGTGGATATTTCCAACAAACCTGCTCATTTTCAAAGGACAGCAGTGAATTATCTTGGCTTTTGGTGTTTATTTGCTTTGCTGTGTACAAGTGGTGATGTGTTTTTAGCCACCAACACAGTTCTCATTCTAGGGGAAATGCATGAGCTGGTTTTGTTGGGCAACCTTTATTTATGTTAGCATTATGAATGCCTATGATATGAGGTTTGCACATAGCATAGGCACAAAATGATTGACTTGTTAGCTTTGGGCTCCTTGTCATCCCTGTAAAGAATGTGTTCCCTTATAAGTTGCTCTCCATTTCCAGATAGTTCAACTTTGATCATTTTTAGATGGATGAAGAGAGGAAAATATTTACCTTTTCTGTAATGTGAAACCTATCTGCTATCATCGACCTACAACAAGCTACAACTTACTTTTCAGAGCTTCTGGTGTATCCAGTTGTTATTAGTTAGTAATTGACTGTGCCTAAAATTGTATCCCCTGGTGTTCCCATTGTTTTAAGCCTGTAGCAACTTCTAATGCGAGAATGGAGCTGGTATTAAGAAATGACATCCATGTGCATATTGTTAACTACGCTTGCACGTATGTTTAAAGACAAAGTTAAAGCTAAATCTTGAAATGGCATAGACCAAAGCCTGATAAAGCACTGGTGGACGAGGTTACTCAGACTACGGACCACTTGTGTTTAAGATGTTGGCAAACCTACCAGCATAAGAATAAAATATTACTCTACCTGTTCTCCTCACGTCATTATTCAGTCTATAAAATGTTCTCCTATTCTGAATGATAGAAGGGGATCTGTTAGGCCCTATCTAAAGATTTCACTGCAGTGCTACATCTCAAAAACATAAACCCTTCACTCTCATCCTCAGCCAGGCCTCTCTGCATTCATCCTCTGCTACACTGTGTGCACAAAGTAGGAGCCAACATCAACGTCCTGTTCGACGCTCACTGTTTACCTGAACAGAAGAGAAAATGAACCAAGATCCTCATACTGCTGTTAATTAAAATAAAATCAGTGTCCTTTTTTAGCCCTATAATTTACCGGATTAGCTGCCTTCTACCTTAAATACAAGTGTGATTCAGATCCATGCCATGCATGTGAACACATTTGCACAATTACATAGACATCAGAAGTACATGGCTCTCCAAAGAGACATTGATGCATAATATGGTAGTGGAATATACGTGAAACTAATGCATCCCTATGCCAAAGAACCTTCAAGAAAGTCAGAATCGCTTAACTTCTAATAATAAATAACCATTTTCACCTCATTTGATATCTGTATTTTCCCTACAGCACAGCACCAGCTGTCTGAGACTTAAACCCTGTATAGTATACATATAGTATCAGATGTATCTATGCTACTACTTTTCCGCTTTAAAAAGTGGTGGTATATGTCTTTTATTATCTTACAAAACTGTGTTGAATGTCTTTACCCCAAAATTTTGGATCTTGCATTGTCAGCGAGTTGTTGTCTGTTTTTCTATAACATTGGGCTTTTTGCCTTTATTAGATAGTCGTGGATAGAGTAGGAAATCGGGAGGGATTGGGGATTAACATGCAGGAAAGGAGCCACAGGTTGAACTTGAGCTGGCCGCCTGGAGGACTATAGCCTCCGTACATGGGGCGCGACCTAACCGCTAGGCCATCTGCGCCCCAGCAAGTCCTTTCCTGTACTGCTAAAGCAGATACTGTAGAGGTCGAATACCTAAAAGGCCAACAAGGGGAAACTGTTCCCTGTGTTAACTTGTGAATTCCACACAGATTTTGTTCATATGATTTAAGGTCTTGTTTTGGGAAGAGTGGTTGAAAGAAGCTTGCAACACTGCAGGATTTGTTTCAAACCAAATACAGATAACATTTGCAGAGGGACAATGGGGTCACTGATCTGAGTTTTACTTGTAACAGAGAAGCATGGAGGCCTTATCGTACTTGACAACGAATTACAGTACGGCTCTTGTGGCCAGCTTATGCTCAGCCAGGCATGATTGTGTACCACTTAGGTTTGTGTTCAATCTACTACAAATGTGGTTGTTGAGATCTTATAGAAGATCAGCAGCCAAAGAGAAAAGAAACTTCGGCTCTCTTTAGCGCTGATAACAAAATCTTGCCTGTGTCATTTGCAGAAGTTTCGCTACAAAGAATTGACCTTACATAATAGGACAACCTAGACTAGACATCTTTTTACTTTAAATCTGGGCTGCCACAACACCACAAATAGAAGCTTATTCAGTCTGATACGGCAGCGCAGGATGACTTCTGCAGATGTAATCTTCAGGTGCGCCAGTCTCATTTATCTGTCATCCTCATGGGGCTTTCGGAAAACGTCTTTATCGGTGTTCCACAGAAAGGAATTCGTGAAGACTTCAGATGAAATATGGAGGGATTGGTTTCAGCAGAATCACTGCTGGCAGCCCTGAGAGGAGGAGATAATTACCACTTTGACAAGCTTTGATCACAGGTACAGTTATTCTCAGAATGTCTGCGTTGATAGAACAATGAGATGACGGCTTCAGAATTCACAACGATTTTGCCCTAGTTTTTTTCCCTCCTCCCGTCGTGCTTAGATTCTGAATAGAAGCTCTGTCTGGAGACAAAATGAGGGTAGTTTACGTGTCGTGGCTTAGCTGTCAATTACTGTTGTTTTTTCGTTGAGGTGCAGAGAAGGGATCTGATGATGGCTACTGAAATGTTTTGGATGGCTAAAAGTCAAGGGTAAGTCATTCGTGACCTGTGAATACTGTGGGTGGAATGAATCACTGCGGTTTCTTTTTGTCAGGAGGCAGCAAATTAGTCAATAAAAACGACAGCGGGTTCAGAGAGCCTTGTGCTGAAGTCGGTTTTAGCAAAGTAGGAGGTGTGGGTTCACGAGGGGTAACGCTGGTGGGAAGAAGAAGAAAAAACTCAAGGTGAAGATGTAACCTCACCACAAAGAAGAAAGGTTCACTTTATTGAGAGCTCTTTGAAAACGCATCCAGACCACAGTGCTGCCCTAAAGCAAACATGCCTCCTACACTGCCTACCTGGGCTAAACTAAGATGCAGCATTTGTGAGCATGGCCACCCAGTTACAGGAAGGAAAATCTTTATGTGTGTGTTTGAAGGTCAAGCAAGTCAAATGAGTCAGATTTTCTCCCATTCTGACCTCAAAATGTAAACAGAGAATGCTCTGAGCCCTCAAGTGAGTGCTTTGTTTATTATTTTGCATTATGTTCTCATGGTTTGGGAGTGTATTCTCCCACTCATGAATTATTTTACCTCTTCCTGTATCCTACTTATGAGTCCCGCACTGATGCTGTTCTCCTGAAGGCTCAGATGCCTCAGCGGGAACTGCATTCTACAAAGCAACGCCCCCATGATGTCGTTTCCTCCAACATCACTGATCCCATTCCTGTCCAGATCCACCTGCTGCAGACTTGTGTTCTCTTTCAGCATGTCAGCCAACAGCCGGACCCCTGGGTCACCTAAGTTGTTCTCGTCAAGGTTGATCTGAGTCAGTGATGTGTTTCCTTTGAGGCTGTCGAAAAGCTCCTTCCACGCCGCCAGATCTGCGCCGCCGGTCTGTGCCAGCCCTAAGTACTGAAGATACGAGTGGTGCCTTATGTATGATGCTAACACCCTTACCCCCTCGCTGCTCAAGCCATTTCCCCCAACATCAAGTTCTAAAAGTGCAAAATCCCTGAATGAGCGCCATCCAGTGGGGAGCTGCGCCATATTCTGCTCTGGTGGAAGAAGCAGTGCCTGCTGGATGGCAGCAAAAGCTGAAGCTGTTTGTTGCTGCAGCTCGGCTATTCCACTCAACAGGGTCAGCACTCCATGGTCTCGCAGTTTGTTTCCAAACAGGCTGTAGAGAGATTAAAAGCAGTGGTTACCATGGAGATTGATTTTGATTCCCGCATAAAAAGCTGACTTTGGAGGGTACACATTTGAACCCTGCCTTTAAGATGTCCCTTTTATGATATATGAAATGCAAATTGTTTACATCTGGTTGCATGTAGTAGTACAATTCTGCATGTATTGTCATGGATCATTTACATTTATTATTTCTTTTTTTTTAAGGATTTACAATTTGAATAATCATATTTTAATGGTGTATTTGTTAGGATTGCTGAACTGTATATGCACTTTCATCAACATTTAGTAAACACTTTCAACTCTTAAAGGACATGCTTGATCTGCTGTAGAACACATTTAAGGGATAGTTTGTTTCATCCATACTAAAAAGAGTTTTGTCCCAAGCTATTTCTTGGCTCAGACCAGTAACTTCCTTAAGTCTCTGATGGTTGGCTGGCTACTGCATAGAGGAATCGGCTAATGGCCGTAGAGTTGTTTGTAACAGACAGATAAGAAGTGGTTTAAATCTTCTCATGGAACACGCTACAAGCAATTAAAACAAAAAATATAGACCTTCTTTCTTAAAGACTCACACTATTCATTGTATCGTAGGGTGGAATAAAAAAAGCAGAGATGATTTCCAAAATGCAGACTGCAGTGTTTAACTTGCAGTGTTTGAAAAACATCTAAGTAAATTAAAAAAAAATGCCACCAAAAGATACAGAGGTTTCTCTCATGATATTAAGTGATTTAATTTTTTTCGATTTGAAAAATCTGCACATTGTTTTTTTCTTGATTATTTGTCACATTTCCATGGCGGTGAGAAGAGTTTGTTACCAAGCTTTCCACTGAATCTAATCTCTGCATGTTAAAAAATTGAGCTTCATTCAGCTGTGTGACTTCAAAGGGTGACTTCACTCGTGACAGACTTGGGGAGGGTCTGGTTTGAGAGAGGCCCTTAAACCTATGAGAGGGATGAAACACTGTAGAATAACCAAAACCAGAAAGAAATAACAAAAAGAGAAATGATAACTCAGCTCTAAATTTAACAAAATACTTCACAAACCAACAGTGAGGACATAAAGCACTTTGTCTCGTCTATGATAAGCAGCTGTGTGTTGCACTGTATCTCAAATTTAACATACACTGTAATTCTTCTCATATTTCAATGTGTCTATAAAGAAAGACAATCTCTTGCACATTTATTGTGTTTTTAGTGGGAAAATAGATCATAACTCAGAGAAGTTAGGCACTGGAGGCCTGTCTTGTTCCCATAAAAGAGATGTATTATGTCATTCAGCAGTGTGAGGCTAAAATGTTATACTGCAATGACGAGCCTATCCTTGGTTTAACTGCATGTTTTTACTGTCCGCTCAGTTTTATGACTTTCTTTTCTAAATTTATATTTGACCACTTTTGAAGTTTAATGTACCTGGATCTGTTTCTACTTTGCATGTTTTATTTTTCTGGTTTTGATGTAAAGGGGCCATTCAAGCTTGGGGACTTACTGTAAGCCTCTGACTTGAGGCTTCACTCGCAGAACGTCAAGCAGGATCTGAGCACCGTATGGACCAATGAGGTTGAAGTTGAGGTTGAGTAGCGTGACCTCGGACAGGCTGCTCTTCAGGGACCCCGCCAGGCTCAGCAGATGGTCGTCAGTCAGGTCTGTGTTTCTCAGAACCAGCTGCTCCACCTGATCGGATGTGCTCAGCACGGTCATCATGGCGTCGAGCTACAGTAACAAATGCTTTTTAATTTGATGGCCTATTGGAAATACTTCAGTTGAAGCTTTATTACCAAAAGTCCGAACCAGTCTGAGACAAAGACATTTATCACCACATGCTATAAGGACAGTGGGACCTCAGCAAACACACATATCTAAAAACAAAAATCAAAACAAAACACGCATACAAAAAACTAAAGCAAATTACGTTTGAAAAAAACGGATACACACTGAACACAGCTTTAACATAAATACTGTGACTTTGACACTTTGGCAATATTGTCCTTTATCATGCATGCCAATAAAGCATCTTCAATTTAACATTAAACTGAATCACCCAAAGGATCTCTTATCTTTAAAAAAAAGTTTAAGCATTTTAATTTGCATGAGGCCAAAGAGTGTTTATTTATTTTTATTTTCTCATCCTTTTGCTTTTCCTCAATGCTAGGGTGAAATGGTCTGCCAAGCCCCACAAAGAAATGCTCCAAATAGAAATATCTCATCTAACTTTATATTCACCTCAATCACAGAGAGCAGGTTTTCCTAAAAGTACAGATTGTATCACTGCCTTGGGAACAGACTATATTGAATGTTTTGTGTTTTTTTTGCCCGGGTGTGAGAGCAGTGAAGCTCCAAACTGTTTTGCAGGCGGGGACAGAGATGTGCTGTGCAGGTGCTGGATCTTTTTTTTTTTTAAACTCAGAGACAGGACCAGAGTCCAGAGAGACATATGGTGTAGTTGTCGGCCATAACCGCTCTGTCACTTTGCAAGACCTTGAGGAATTTTTCAGGCAGTGTGTGAAGCTCTTTCATCGTGACGAATAGAACCGAGCCAAAAGGCCTGCATGTCCGAGATAAAACTCACTGGCCATTTGTTGCAGCCATTTGGTTATTAACCCCCATGTGATGAAATAGACCTTTATATTAGGACATCTCTTTGAGAATAAATCAACTAATCAGACAATAAATGTGACCTAGAATGGGAAACTGTCTTTTTGATGGCAATTGTAGTACCTGATTACTTTTGAGAAAAGCTCCTGTAGGCCTACTTGTTGTTGTAGTGGATTTTTTTATGGTTATATGGATATCTCACACAGTGAAAAGTATTAGACGGTATATTAATACATCTCCTTTAAACTATTTTGTACTGTTTAAAGTTTAATACACGAAAGTTGCAACTTTTGCCCCTTGAATTCAGATTTTGTTTTTTTATGTGTTATAGTTGCATTATTGAAATTAGGAAAAAAATAATAATGTATCCCTTTAGTATCTCTTTAATCTCTCTTTTGCCCTTATAGCAGAAATATACCAGTTCTAACTAAAAATTAATGCGCACTGCTGCATAATACAGCAATGCGGTTATTTCAAAGGCTTTCTGCCTAATATTAACTGCCAAGAGCGTTCCTGGCAGACACACTGATTCACCTCAGTAGTTTGTGTCGTACACACACCTGCACCTGCAAGTCTTGTTCTCTAACAGGCTCCTCTTTGCCAGCACTCTGGCTTGCCGTGTCCTCCTCTTCCTCCTCTGGCTCTCCATCAGGCTGTAGGACGCCGTCACTTTCAGCACTGAGCTCCACATCTGAGCCTGCAGCTTTGGGGCCCGATGACAGCCTCTTCTGCAGCCGGCACCTCTCCAGGACTTGGCATGCAAAGAGAAAGACAACCACTCAGTAATTAATAAAAAAAACTGTCGCTATGAAAGCCAAGTGCACATAGTGATATTGATACCCTGCTTTGATGTGAGAATGCAAGAAATCTAAAATGTAGTTTTGTTACAAAAAAACAAACACATATTGCAGTGAAATTCATGAATGCAGGTGTATGGGTGTCAGTGTGAATATTGTCCGATGAACATCTCCCAAACATCCTGCATCCTCTTCTAAACATGCACCACTTTCTTTCAGAGTCACAATTTCTGCTTAAGTGTTAGATGAATCAGTTACAGCCCTCCAGGGGGATTCCCACTCGTTCCTTCTGTGCTGCAGTTTCTTCACTCACTGTTTGCCTTGAACCAGTTGTGTTTGTTTTGGCCCTGCTCCAACACGGTGCTCATTTCCACACATTCTTTGTAGAAGTCCTTCGGTCCTTCCCCGTCTCTGTTTTTCCCATTTGATCCCGGGTGCTTCTGCTTCTCTGCGTTCTGCTTAGTCAGTGCTTTTTCATCCTGCAATGAATCTTTACAAAGAAACACTCTTGATCTTACTCATTTTTTTCCAAACAAAACGTAAAAAAATTGAAAATTCAAGTACAGATATGAAGGTCATCTAGTGCCCATATAAAAAAAACTGTATTTTCATTTTTTTTCCCACCCTCATTTACAGGAATCAAAGAAGCTAAATTGAATGAAACTTACTCAGAACTGTAACCTTGCTGCTTGCTTTCTTCGGTCTTACTTCTTGTTCAGATGATGCTTGGTCTTCAAATTTTTCCATCACTGTCGGCCTCAACGAAACTTCTGAGCCCTCTCTGCCTCTCTTTTCATCACTCTTTTTGTCGCCCGTCTTGCCTGTGCTCTGTTTTTGATTACTTTGACCCTTGCGTCGTTTACTCTTGCCCGTCTCTTTAATCCCTGCAACAGCCATGTCTTCGCTGTCTGTAGATCCTCCGCCGCCTTCCTTTATGTTTTTTTTTGTTCTCCTCCCGGACTTCTTCTCTGGTTTGGCTGGGATGAACAAAGGGGATGATGGGCATGACTCCACAGTGCCTGCTTTTGGAGACAATATAAAAGAGGAGAAAAGTGCTTTGTTTGACATTTTCTCTTTAAATTAGTCCATCGAAATCAAGGGCTGGGCCTGATGTCAAAAGAATGTTGATGAATAAGCTTTAGGAAGTAATGGAAAATGGAGCTACTCATTGCGAGGCTTTGTACCGTTGCCAGGGCTGTGCTCTAGAGAGAGAATTAAGTTCTGCTTTGTGCCGTTGTTCAGCTGTTGGCAGGAGCTGTATTTGTTACGGAGACTTGTACATCTGAAAAAGAAGAAAAAATACGCTTTTATGCTGACTCGAATTCCCTCTCTGTACCACCATGAAACATCATTCCCCCCATGTCATGTAATATGCAGGCTTTCACCCCCACTCTCGGCCTTCAATATGTTAATTCCACTGACAAATAGTTGAACTTGATGTGTTTATTCTGCTACTAATTTCAGACATGTTCTGCCACTGCTGTGTGTCGTTGTCCCTGAAATCTGACCTGTAGCACGGCATCCCACCAGCGAGCCACGTCAGTCTGAAGCAGCTCCTCCTGCCCTGCTGGAAGCCCGGCGCATAGCGGTACTCGCAGCAGGAGCTGATCCTGGCCACCATGATGCCATTGACGTACAAGGTAGTGCTAAAGGGGAAACCTCTGTGCCGTTGAGAGACAAACTGGAACTGCTCTGAAAGACACAAGAACTTCATGCTGTGAAGGACATTTGAATAAAGATTTCAGAGGCCAGCGGCCCTGACATTTTCTGGAGTGCATGTGTGAAAACAACTCTGGACTCTACCTGGCCTGCTAATTCAGGTATTTGAAACGCTGTCCACGTATAGTAGGTGACCCATTTTAGCATTTGACCTCTGTGGGGTCGTAAGACCAATCAAGCACACCTGGCTCGCTGCCAGAGCTCACTTTCTCTCTTATTCACACCAGCTCCCTACCCGAGGCTCACACTGTTACACCCATCCATACACACATGACATTACTGGTCTTACAGATTGACATCTTTTTCTGACTTTTCTGATTAAGTCAGTGGCCCAAATAAAACATTTTTTTTTTTTTTAGCTTCCTTGTATATTATAAATAGGAGCCAATTTGTTACACTTTCTTTTAAGGCTCAGGAGGATTTTCAGAGCAGATTTCCAGATCAAAACAATGCTCCCTTCAGACTCACCTCCTTCATCCCTAAGCTCCACCCTCCCTTCCTGTCTCCAGCCCTCTCATTCTGTTTCACTCTCAGGTTTTTGTGAGGCAGTGAGAGCAGCGGAAGACTGCAGATAATCAAAACAAGCTTCTGTGATCAATTTAACATTTACTAAATGCATCTCAGAATTGCTTCTGTTTTATCCGTTTGGCCTTTTAGACCGAAGAAAATATTTTCTTCCCTTTGGAAATCTGTTGGTTCTCCTTGGGTTGTACTCCTGCAACACTGTTATCATGCCTCTAGACAAAGCAACCTTGTGTGGGCAGCCTGTCTCTCTTCCTCCACATGGTGGCAGGGCTGGACCAACCACGGACCTCCACAGTGGTGGCATGGCTAACGGTTGGACAGGGAGGGAGTCACTCGAAAAAAAGCACATGTATGAAACAAGTTTGAGCCTTTAAGGGAAACGTAAACAACCTGAAGGAAGCGCTGTCCACTCCATGTGAATACTGAGCTGATAACATATAATCCAGAGACAGTTGATAACTCTCTTTTTTTAAGGAATTAATATTAATAAAATTTGAATAAAATTCCATAAAGAAAGTGTCTTATTCTGGTTTATTCAAAAAGCAAATTTCCAAATCTATTGTTTATTTAAAAACATATTTTAATGGAAAAAGTACCAAAGTCAGCATAATGAACAATACTGACTATATAGAGTAAAAGTGATTGAATATCATGGCAAAATAGATCATTTGTAGCCCGCTAGACATGTGTCTGTATGTGTCAGCTATAAAAGATGTAAACAGATCAAACACACACACACTGTTTGGAGCAGAAATCCATAACTTTGTTCTTCCATCAGGCTGACTCTTTTGATTCTCTCCGTGCAGTGACAGCTGTTCGGTTTGTACCAAAATGAACCTGCTGCAAAGATGAAACAGCTTGTCTTGTCTATTGACTTTTGTATATGACGGTAGTCAGTCAGGTCACACATCAGCCTCCTACTCACTCTCAACTCAAATGGAGCCTCGGGCCGACGTCCTTGTATTCCTTTTGAAAGTGTTATTTAAGGGCAGAATAGTGATAAAATGTTTTTAAACTTTTTACGTCCCTAAACGTGGAACAAGTTTCAGATGGTTTGAATAGGCACTTTAAAAGTCAAATGTTCTGATACATTTTCTTGGCTGTTATATAAACACAGTTTTACATTTCTGAGCTCCTACCTCCTGCAGCCACCAGCCCTTTGAAGACACAGATATTCTCCCCTCCATTGACCTGCTGGAGAACCTTCAGTTCATCCCGAGTTGACCCTGACCGGGACCCCTGATGACCTTGTCCCAGGTAGGTCATTGTCACAGCGACGTTTGATTTCTTTGCCTCTTTCTGTGCTTTAAGGTTACTCTGATATGAAGACAGAGCAAACAGGTTTGACTTTGAAGGCAAGCTTCATTCCATTTTCACAGGAAGCTGAATAGATGTCATAATACCTGTTTTTTAGGGTGACTCGTTGTTCTCTGAGAGGTGACAGAGGAGAACGATCCTCGTCTTTTGTCGTAGAGGTAAGGGCAGGACTGACTCAGAGTCCCTCTGATCGAGGTGAGACTTGATGCTTTTGTTGTAATGGCTGGGAGGTAAACATCGTCTTTACCATTTCTACTGGATCGGGCTGTTGAATCATCCAACTATAATGGTAAGACACAATATACAGTATATATATTTTTAATTACGATTTATTTTAAGGCCTTTTATGCCTTTATTTAAGAGTCAGGACAGTGGGGAGAGCATGGAATCAGGAGGAGAGAGTGGGGAATGACATGCAAGAAAATAGACGAGGTTCAGAGTTTAGCCTTGGCCACCCGCTTTGAGGACTAAAGCCTCATATGGGACGCTCGCCCTGACCGTTGGGCCAAAAACAAGAAGATGCGAGAAATCAATACATAGAAATGGGTGTTGGCTTAGCACAGTCGGTGGAGTAAGCTAGCTGTACTGTATACAGAGACAACGTCTTTAACACTCTGGTCTCCTTTGACCATTTGGTGCATGCCATTCTTACTCTCTCTCTCCCTTTATGTCCTGTTTCTCCTCAGCTGTCCTATCAATAAAAGCAAAATACATTAAACTAGAAATTAAACTGGTAGTAAGCAACATAAAAATTCCAATGGAACAATCCTTCCACCTCTCACTCAGATACCTCATCACTCAGCTAAGCCCTGTCCACCAAATGACGCAGCAAACATGAAGGCCAAGCGTCGTCCCTACAAACTGTCTGTTCCACTCAGCTGTTTGAACTCAAAGGAGAGAGACAGTGAAAACCAATCGATAAACATCCCCAAAAGGTTCAGAAATTAGAGATAGTATGGGCCGCACAGCTGTTGCGCTCTCAGCAGCTCCACCAAGAGGAAAGAGAGAGAGAGAGAGAGCTGCTGACACAAGTCATGCTAAAGTCAGATGAGGCTAGTTCAGAGTCACTGTGACTATTTACTTCCAAGCTAACCCTGACTTGTTTTTTGATACAGACCTAAAAAAAACTTCCAAAAAAACAAAACTCAAAGGGGTTCGGGGCTCACAGACACAGAGAGACAAATATTTAAGGGAACATATACTGTACGTTTAAAGTGGTTAGTGACATGCAAAGATTAACATTTGTTATTTCAACCCAAATTGAGTTGCCTACTGTAGTTTTTACTTAAATAAAGATATCAGGAAAAAGTTAACCAAGACAAAACAAATACCAGGAAAAATAGCTTTGACTAAAGCTTCACATTTCTCCATCGTGAAATCTAGTATATAAATCACGTTTAAAACATGTGTTCTGTTTAATATCACAAGAAGCACATTATCTACCAAGCATATAATCTAATACAATAGATCTTCATCAGCTCTTTGACTGTCTGTGGTGTTAATATTAGGCTACTTGTTAGGCCTTCCAAATAGAAAATGAAATCATTATTAAATGCTGTATACATTGGTTTTTTGGTTTGTGAATATTTTTACAGAAAAGAAAGGAATATATTTTTGTAATGTGTCGCCTCTTTACAAATCTGCTCCGTCACTCATTCAGAAATGCTTCTTGGTTTTAGATTCACACAGAGCTCTCAATCTGTGACAATGTTAAAGCGCCACTCACTGTTATAATAATGATAATAATAATACACTGTTGAAAAGGAAGAGATCTGACCTTGTAGATCTCCACAGTGTCGGGGTTCTCGAGGAGGAGGAGTTTGCTCTTTGCTCTGATCAGACTGGCGATGGAGTGGATCATTTTCTCATCCCTAGCAGGCTGAGCTGGGATCTGATCGCATCCAAAAACAAATCAAAAAAGCTCTCATAAGTTAAATAACCAATTATATTAATGTTATGCACTGTGGAGGATCTACAGTCAGTTAACAGTTAGACACTTACAGGAGTGTCTCGGCCTCCTCCATGGACTCCTCTGTAAAAGAGATCCTGAAGGAGGGTCTTGCTGTTCCTTCTGATTCTTCTCATTGATTCCCTCTGATACGAGGCAGAATTCATACTGACCATCAGTCTGAATCCACAGAGTCGCCTGACTGGTAAATCATTCCTGAATTCACAGATAACAAAATTGTGAGAAGGTGGGAAAGCTGGGATTGGTATTTTTGTGGACATTGCACAAGTAACAACAAGGTAATTTTAATTTATGTCATGGGAAGTGCAATGAACACAGCTAAGGAATTATGTCTGGGCATTATAGAGCTAGAATCAGGGTTAGCCTAGCTTAGCATAAAGACTGGCAGCACTGAACACAATTAGCATGGATCTAACTAATGTTTTAAAACATTCATACCAACACTTCTAAAGCTCTGTGATTTTATACTGAACATG